AAAAAATGTTTCATTTAATAAAAAATTAATAATATAGTAAAACTTTGAAAACACATATCTCAAGAAATCAATATTTTTTAGTAATTATAGTATCCAAAGTATACTAATTAAAAATACGGTAATGGAGCTTTTTCAAGTTTTAACGAGCCATAGATATTATGCTCTCATTTTTGTCGACCTATAAAATTCTACATTATTATTTTAGAGTTGCCACCCGTAAGTACATCTACCGAAAAATTCCAATCTTAACAGGATTTTAAGATTTTAATATTGTGCTGTTTTATAGCATTAAGTTTGGCACCACTGGACATACTTTACGTCATAAAGACATTAAATCTATTAATATGCCAAAACAAATAAAGCAAAGCCCTTTTCAAAATTTTTTCATTTCATACATCTATTTTTTATTATTACACGTAGTACAAAAAGCTACTGGCATATGAAGCAATATTAATCGAAGCAATAGCACCAGCACTGATGATGACAAGGCATTGGAAATGACTATAATTTTATTTTTCAAAGATACTTCGTGGCACCGTGGTCAAAAAGCTTGTTCGACCTTATCGCTTTTGACTACTTCATTGTACGCAGTAAAAAATGATATTTTAACGATCAATTTGATGTTTATTTCCAGCTTTCGGCTTATGTCACTATTTAAAGGCTTATTATTGCTTAGCCTTATATTTTTCTTTTTCAACTTTCAATAAGTGTACTTTAGTGTAAACTACTGTAAATTAGTCACCCTAAACAAAGATCGTTCGAATGTCATACTCTGAAGTTGTTCATAAGTTTCATTTGCTTTCCATCAGGTGACGACTGTACAAGATGCACGTAACACTTAACTTATAAAAATAAGTGATTTTTTTTAGCAATATGAGCAAGGACCAGGACCGAGCATCACCGGCCGTGGAGTGCATAATCTCTATAAAAATGTCATTCATCCGTACATGATCTAATCCATTATCCCCTCGATACTTACGTCACAGACTTTTTGTGTCAATCTTACATTATAAATTAGTCATCGCTGAGCACAGAGCAAAGTATTTTTAATGTTCATGCATTGGCTTGTTCTTTGTAGAAATCACCGACGAAGCAGCCAGACGAGCTCAAGTAATTTTAGCCAACCGCGAGCTTCAGCCTTCAGCTAAGGAAACAGGTAAGCCATAAGAACAAAAGATAATACGTAAGTGACGTTCGAATTTTTGTGTGTGGGTGTACACATGCGTCTACATACGGATGAAAAATTTGGTTCCCTCAGTTATATTTAGCTTTATCTTTCATAGTTTGGTTAGCAGTTATCTCATTTATCGACGCTTTTCATACACTCATTCCCATTGTGGCCTGTATTTTGTTCAAAAGGTACTATACTGTTAACTAGTTTCCGCGTGCACAGTTTGCTCATCGTCATATTATATTTCAACGCGAAAGTTTCCTTCTTTTTCTGGCTCTTGGTACTTACGGAAGAAAATAAAATGTAGAGAAAATAATCAAGTTAGTGTGCTCTTCACATGTGCATCTTTTGCACGATCGGCGTACCTTTTGGTAAAAAACAGGCAAACACTTTGAACACAACTTGATTAAATGGTTTGAATTTACTAATCCTAACACAGTGTTGACTAATCATGAATGAATAATCACACTTTTTGCAAGGAAAAGCTCTACAACTTGATTGAATGAGTATACCTGTTATTGGGTTTTTAACTCGCCTTAATTTCATTTTCACATATACCATCCAGTACGGGTAAATTCAGTTAAGTCGACGGAACAAGTTTTCCTTGCAAAACTTTTGCTCTTGGCTCTCTCTTTTTTTCCCATCATTTTACGTATACTATACGTTGAAATCATATAGATTATAGACTTTAGTGGTAAAAAAAAAAAAAAAAAACCATGATGAAAAATCTAGGGAAAGGCATTGTCGGGGCGGGCGTACTGTGGCTGTACAATGGCTGGTTGGGCTGTACCCCCTAGTCAACTCATTTTAATTGTTCATACTTACATCCGTGTAAATATTGTGTGCTCTGTCCCCCCCCGCCGCTCCTTATACGTACACCTCATTTGTATACTGTTGCTATTGGATCGTGGGTCAGATCGCGATAGCCGATCGGCTGAATGTGGTAACGGGACTATAAAGAGGTGCACTCCGGCAGAGGAAATAACATCGTCGACGACAACGACGATAACGGAAACGACCATCGTGTCCGGGCACCGGCGGCCGGAGTTGCTCTGCGAGAAGAGTCCGCCTGAAACGACGAGGGTCCAGTACGAGGAGTCGCGGGAGAAACGCGGCGGCCAGGGGTCGGGGGAGGCGAGCGCCCCGAGCTGCGGACTCGAGTTGTGGGAGACGGGTGGCCAGGTGTCGGTGGACGCGTCGCCGGGCTCGGCGCATGAGAGGCGGCTCGGCGCCAGCGACACCGAGAGCGATGGCTCGCCCCAGCGCAGGAGAACTTCCCTGGGCAAGAGGCGCACGCTGGGCAGCTCGAGCGGCTCGGACGTCGCGCTCCACGAAGGCGCCGAACTCTCGCCTATGGAGGACGACCAAGGTACAAGACCCATCACACCATAACACAGACCATCATTGTCTATACCTCCCCCCCCCTCCTCTCTCTTCGTTGTTTCGCGACAACTCGCTTACATCTTGTTACATATACAATATTGTGTAAGCCTGTTACCCACGTACAAACTCTCTGCTGCAGCTTCTTCGTGTCTTTTTGTTCTTTCGTTTTTTTTCATTGAGCTTGCCAATGCGGTGTGCTTCCTCATACCAAAACGTGTGGCCATTAACCGCTTAAGCATTTTTGTTTGCACATGCATAGACAATCGCTTGTGTTTTTGTGTGACTGTGTATCTGTACATATGTGCATTCATTATTCATGGGCCGTGTTGCGTACCATAATAAGGTTTTTTTTTTTTTNGGAGCACACCCTGGACTCGGGAGTCTGCCGGAAATAGCCCGCGCGTCGGTGTCCCTTCATCATAATTTATTTATTTATTTATTTATTTACTCGCTAGTGTACGCTCCTTCCGTAAATTCAAAGCTTGCAAATATACATTATACGTAGCCTTACTTTTTTTAGTGAAAAGAAATGACTACTTTGGCGTATCATTATAATCACTATGTATTATTGCGCTGCATTGTTTATGGTGTCACTTGTACCACGCTTACCGATACTTTACAATGAAACATGGTAGCTAATTGCAAAACACGGTCAAAGTTGGTACATTTTTTTTTTTTTTTTTTTTTCATCTCAGGACATACTGGTACATGACAATGGTTTGTAAGTCATGACACGAGGGATCAGGTGATAACGCATAAAAACTAAATTGTACAACATTAATTGGATCGCATTTAATAAAAATTTTAAACAATAATAATGATAGGGCTCATTAAAATAACGATGGCAACAATAACAATAACAATAATAATAATGATAATACATTTGTAGTAAAAGGCTTTCTAATTGATGCGGGGACGCTCAGTGACTTTGTAAACATCTATATCTCTCTTTATTTTCTGTGAAGGGCGTATGGTGGATAATGGTTGCTTTTAAAAATGTGATACATCATTACTATGTTATTATAAGCATTCGACGGTGGTCCCACGAACATTACTGTTTGTTCATCAATATCATGTTATACTGGCTCTTCTTCATTCGATTTTTTCACATTTCCGACAGCTGACACGACATCTAAAAAAATTTTATGGCATAAATAATGTTTAAAAATAAAAAAATGTTTCACGTGTCAGAACAAACAAGTAATGTCATAGAAAAGAAAAGTTTGAGTGGCGTTCAACCCGATGATAGTTACGTAGAGGCTATAGAAAGAAAAAGGAGAAATGTAACGAGTAAAAGATTCGTCTGTACCCACTGGATATTGTGCGCCAGTGTCACGCTCCTAGTGGTCCTACTAGCTATCCTTATTGCCCTTTTGGAGCCTGAAGATTTACAAAGTGTCACCAACGCCCTTAACACTAGTTCACTCAAAGATACCGGGTATGTCTCTCTTTCTTTCGAACCATGTTATATTTATTTATTTATTTATTTATTTACTTATTTATTTATCATCATTATACACGCTCAGCTATTTCCTTAAAAAATATTTTACAAACATCGATCTTCGCCACAACCATTAATATTATTATTACTATTGTTATTGTCGTACAGTTAAATGTCAAATTTGTTTTTTTTTTAATTTAAACAGTATACATACTTTTGGGCTACAAATTACGTTATAATAGAAAATGTTTATAATTATAAAATTTTTGGTTTCTTGATCCAACGATGTTCTTGGATTTAATCAGTTTACAAAACTTACATAGGACTCGTCGCATACCTTGTACAAATGGCCAGATAATACAAACTCAAGATCCAAAATGATTTAACGAGATTTCCATTCGTTTAGGCTTAATCAAAGGCAAAGCAATAAAAAAAAAATGTATATAATACAATAAATGATACACACGTATGTAAATTCGTATGGTGCATGTTTTCGTAGGTATTTTTTGCATGTTATGTACATTTAATTGAACGCATGCTAAAAGTAGTTAAAAGTTTTAACAGTAGTGAAAATTTACCATCCGATTTGTCTTTTTTTTTTCAAGTATACATCGTACAGCCGGTATGCATGTATGTATACTATATATTCATATTAAAAACAGCAGTGTTCTTCATTTCAAGCATAAGAACATACATTCTTATAATAATTTGTAGTATCATTTTCAACAATACTCACGTATGATTTTTTGTAAAGATAATCTTAGCGATCACAACTTTAATTTTAACAGAATCAAGATAAAGCTAAAGTGTAGAGGGTCCAACAAGGTTTACGATACATGTTTAGTTATCTGTAGTTGATAGTGTCAATTTACACGACTCAAGTATTATCGAGTGAAAAAAAAAAAAACAAAATCGATATGAAGACGTTGTTAAAATATCTTGGTCAAGCGTTTTCAACGCCCCACATTATTGAAGACGTATCTTGATTTTTTTAATTATCTAATGTGAGCTGTTAAGTTTACACTTTAGATATATATATATATATATATATATATATTTTAATACTTGCTTTCAAGTGATCAAGTCCAAATCAAGCACATCCAGTTGAAATAATATTTGCTTTCGGATGTTATTACGTACATCGTGTTGTTACTGTATACCTCAATATTGCCACAAATAAAGAAATTCAGTTTCTTTATTTTATAAAGTGCTATTGTTGTCACCAAATTTCAACCTAAAAACATTTTTCACTGATCGATGTGTGCGATCACAAATTATATAGCACTGTATATTTTTTCTAGACATTTATTTACTTTTATTAAAAAAAAAAAAAAAAAAAAAAAAACAACGAACGAATTAATCGAGAAGAATAAAAAAAAATCGTAAAAAATGTTTGTTATAAAAAAAATAATTTTTATTTTTCCCTCGTTAAATTCTTTGTTACGAAATCGACATTTTCAGATAATTTTTGTAAGTGCTCGAGTTCACCCTGGGGAAACGCCCTCGAGTTTCGTTTTGAATGGCCTGTTGAATTTGTTATTGAACCGCGAGGACCAGACCGCAATTATTCTTCGTCAACTTTACGTTTTCAAGTTGATACCTATGCTTAATCCCGATGGCGTGGCACAGGGTTACTACCGCATGGACACAAGAGGTGTTAATCTCAACCGACTTTATCTCAACCCATCCATGGAAAATCACCCAACGATATACGCAGCCAAAGCTCTGCTGAGGTTTTTGGCGAAAATACTACTTTTTTTTACTGGCACGTGAAATTTTATATCAATTTTTTTAATGATTGTTTATTTGCATTTTAGATACTATCACAGATTATACATGTTGGCAGAAAACTACATTTCTGATGCAACAGAGAAGGTTGAGGTCAAAATTGATGCCACAAACAGCACGTCGACGTGTAATCGTGATTTCAAAAATATGATTGGTTCTCATGTTATTTCAGACGAAACGAATAAATTGCTGCAGAGGGTTAATACATTCATTGAATTATTTATTCCAGGGAAAACATAAATCTCGATATGTTTGTGTGATCCTGATATTTAAATAAAACTTTTTCAAATAGGTCAACCTCATGAGTCTGGAGGAAAAAAGTAAGCGCATCGAACAAGGGAATCACTTGAGAAATTGTTTGTTTGAAGCATCGGAAAATCCAGTGTGTAAGTGTATCGATGAATTTGTAAGAAAATCGTTTGGAGGTCGGCATAATATGAGTAAACTCTCCATTTTTGCACGATTAACAGTTGAAACCGAAGAAGAGATGAAACTTGGGAACAATGGTGTTCAAGAAAATTGTGAAAAACAAGAGAATTCTGGGATATTTTTGTACATCGATCTCCACAGTCACGCATCGAAAAAAGGTATTTTCATGTACGGCAATCATTTTGACGATCCAGAAGACTCTTCAGCTTGTATGCTACTGCCAAAATTAATGTCCATCAACAATCCGAACTTCCACTTTACGTCCTGCAATTTTGCCGAGAAGAACATGTACATCATGTAAATATTGTGTTTACTTACTTGTTGTTTCAAAACGCAATCAAAGTATGCGCGACCGGTTGATAAATCGGCAGGTTCATTAGGAGCAGGAGTTAATGAAAATTCTTTTTCAGCGATAAACGAGATGGTATGTCCCGCGAGGGTTCCGGTCGCGTGGCCGTATACAAGAGCTTTGGACTCATTCATAGTTATACTCTCGAATGTAACTACAACACCGGTCGCGTGGTTAACACCGTACCAGCCAGGGTCAAAGAGAGATTTCGCAAACTTCACTCTCAGCTGTACGTGCCACCAAAGTATAATCCTTCGGTTTTTGAAGAGGTGAGGTGGGGAGAGGGATCATCTCTTGTCGATTAAAGTTTTTTTTTGTCGTCATTCAATAATTTTCTCTGAAAAAATAGGTTGGAGCAGCGTTTGGACCGTCGATCCTCGATATGACCGGTCACAATCCCAATAGCAGACTGCCAAACAGCCAATACCGATCGTTGAAGGGACTCATCTCGTACTTGAAGCTTATATCGAGTAATCGCTATCAGTCGCCTAAAACTTGCTTGCAAAAGGTAAATCTTTCCGATACCGAAAACGATGTTGATATCGATATTCATGATGGCGCTGAAAATTCTGAAATTAGACAATGCAGTCTGTGCTGATTTCTGAATAAAAATAATACTGTGCCGAAGAATGTTATACCATAACCGATTCATTTTAAATGATTTTTTATAATTTTGACTATAAAACAAATGTTAGTTTCTTATGCTTCTTCCATGGTTTTTCTTCTCTTAAAAACAATTGTTTATTTATTGCTTTCATTTTTAGGTAGTGTGATAAACTTTTCCAATAAAATATTCTAATGATGGTTCAAATAACAATGAAAGTTTCTATGTTATTTGTAAAAAAAAAAAGCCACAATGACAAGGAAACTTGATCATCTTGATTAGTTTTCTAGATTGTGGCTATGTTATTTCCATTTTGACGTATAATAAATAAACGCTTCCATAAAATTATGGATGTATGTAATTTATATTAATGACGCAAGTGAAAAAATGAGAAAAAAATTAGTTTTAGATCGAAAGGCGGATACGTGAATTGTTATAAAAGTGGTTTAGACTGAGAAGGTTGTTAATTTTTAAAAAATGAATCTCAGTCTTTTAATTCTATTGATAAATGTATCCATAAGAAGATTTTATAAAATGTAAAACAACCATTATTTTTTAAATAAAATTGTGAACAATTACGAATTTAGACATTATTTTTACCTTGTTAAACAAGAAAACCATAGATGAGCTTAGTAAACTCCTGAAACACAGAATCACCAACATATTGTAGTTAAAAATAGTTATTAAAAAACTTTGTGAGTGTTCAATTATCTAGTTAATTGTTTTTTTTTTTATATATTATTTATTATGCTCGCAACAACATGATTAAGTAAACCGTTTTGGCCTAAACCCGCGATATTACCCGAGCAC